GTTGTACAGCGAGGTTATGCAATCGAGGGCCTGGGAGCAGGAGAAGGCTGGCGATCCGTGAAACGCACTCCATTAGGAAAATCACAAAGCGCTCCCTGCCTCCGGTCGTTCAGTTGTGCACAATGCCAAAACGGCGAATACTTGCACTGCTGGGTGCTTTTTAATCACGAATGGGATCCGCAGCTCCCCAGAGGCAGTAAATTCACCGAGAGGCCTAACACGGGCAAGGAAGAGGTAAGTGTGGAATAAAACCCACCCACGTGCGAACAGTTTCGAGATCAGAGATTGAGAAGTAATACCCACATCGAGCGCAGGCTCACTCCAAGCCAAAGGAGAAATGGCGTGGTGCCCCCGACAGGTTCCCAGCTGAAATACTGTGCGGTTTCACCCAGTCTGTTGAAGAAAGTGGCGTGGATGAAGACTCGGGATTAGCTCCTGCATGGTCTGCTCCCAGACGCTTTCACGTTTTCTCCTTTCCCTTCCCAGCTCTCCGGGGTCAGTGCCCCGAGCCACAAGGCAGCCCGCGGAGTCCGCCATCGGAAGAGCGCGGCACACCGGCTCCGGGAGAGAGGGCAGGAGCACTGGCCGGGGAGCAGAAACCGAGAAGGAAGAGCCCTGCGCGACCCCCAACACACGGGGTTGGTGTTGACGGTCAAGCCCTGGAGTCCAGCTCACAGCTGGCCCCCCCGCTCCAGTCTGGCAGGACTGAGCAGGTCTCGGAAAGAGCCCGCGGCGCGGAGCAGCTCAACGGACTCCGATGACCCGCGAAGGAAGCGGGGCACAAGAGGGGCTGCAAAGAGAACATCCTTCAGCCAGAAATGACCCTTCTCCTGGCGGTTTCCTCTTGGCTCTACTGGCAGGTCATTCAAACAGCCAGTCAAGTCTGTGGCTGCTGGGCGTCTGCTGAAAAGAACACCTTTGTATTAACAAGGTTCTTTGGGAGTATGGGCACCTGTGTACAGGCACAGCGCGATGATCATGTTATACCACTGGGGGGCAGAGGCGAGCTAAACAGAGCATTACGAGAAATCACGTGCTTTGTCATAGTTATACTGGCAGCGCAGAAAGTGTTTAAATGAACCTTTAGTGGCTGCCAGTACAGTTCCCAAGCAGTCACAAAACCAGCCAAGGAGAGCTCTAGCACACTAGAAACAGCCGATGTCACTGCTCAACACAACGTCAGTACCGACCGCATGCCAGCGCGCCCCTTTTCAGATAAGATCTGCTGACGTTAAGACATGGAAAACTCAATCACCTGTGCTTCTGTAACCCAGTCTACACCTCCAGGACAGTCTGGAAATGGAGGTCAAGGTTA